TATATATATATATATTAAAACAAATTAAATTGTATTTAAAAATAATTAAAATGTATAAATCGAAGCATACATTATTTTATATTGCATCAAGATTTAAGTTTTCTTAATCAATTATTCATTAAAATAAATAAAATGATTATTAGCTTCTTTGGCACTGAATAATTATGTTTACAAAACTAACACCTAAATTATGAATTTTTTTTATATTTATGCCAACCCAAATCATTCATAGCACAACTAATATATCAATATTTTCAATTTTAAAAAGTGAATTATACATTTTCATATATACGTAAGGCGGCATATATATAAAAATTGAATTTTAGGTTTTAGATATGTAAACAATAAAAAATGATGGATATGTATTTAATTCTTTCTTAAATTTAGTCATAAGAATATTTTTTTAGAAATTTTTAATTTATTAACACGTGTCATGCGCGTGTTATCTTTTTTTAATATTATTTAAAGCGTTCACTTCTATGTTGTGTCTGACACGTGTCGGAGCCGTATCCATGTCCGGTACGTGTCTGACACTTCACGATTCCTAATTAAAAATCTTCATATAGCATAGTTAGCTATTCATAAAATTGGGTTTGGCTATAAATTTATGTTTAATTATTAAATTTCAAGATAAAAGAAAATGATACAATTTGCAATGCCTTTTATATTCTGCACATGAATGACATTTATAATTTTTTCATTATTATCAAACTTGAAACACTGCTCGATTTTTTAATGAAATTAAGTTAACATGCTATCTTTCTTTACATTTGTTCGTAAAGCACATGGAACCCATGAATCATTAGTTGAGTTGAGGGATTCCACAAAACTAACCATTGTGATTATTAGATCTTCAACAAAAGCAAGACAATTGCACCAACTTTTAAAATATAAAGTCTTATTTACTTTCCAATAAAGCGCCATGCAATATCCTTATAAAAGGACTTTTTGGTCAAATCTGAAATCTGAATAGACTAAAGGTTATTGATGTTTTAAACTCTGTTAGTTATCAGTATTACCAAGATTTTAAAAAACGGATCAGCTATTGAACCTAAAAGAAAAGCTTAAAGGTTTAAAGGTTCAACAAGGTTGCAAATGGGGCTGAACCGGCTGAAATAACAAAATAAAATTATTTAAATATTACTTAAATAACGTAAAAATAACATAAATATGTCATAATTAAAAATAAATATTTCTTAAAATATAGAATTTACACCAGAAATATCTTCTGTAATTTTAAATTTAAAATTATTCCAATTCTAATGCTAGCATTTCTTACTTTCTATTAAGTTTTAACAATTTATTTACTTAGATTATTAAATTCGAAATTAAATTTTAACAATTTAATACAAAAAATAATCAGAATTTGATCATGGTAATAAGCACTGTCCAATTTAATGAAATTGTAATCAATTCACTGGTTAATGGGTTCGACTAACAGTTCTCCCAATTCCAGACAATTTTTGTGTTGGAGTAGTTTTATCAGGGGAACGAATCGGCTGAGAGATTGTTTCACAATTGAACTGATTAGGCCGATAACACTTTTAAATCAATGACTATTATAAATGTGATTTGCATAAATTGTTACTTCAATGATCACGAGCTACCATATTAAACGTAGATACACCAATAACATGAGTTGGTAGTGGAAGAAGCCACCGCCAAAGCTCTTGTGCAAAATATAGGAACAAAGAATAAGAAATAGTATCATTTCTACCAATAAAATAAAAAAAATATATCTGTGTTAGATATTTTAAACTTTTTGGTCAAAATGTAATCTGAATTGACTAAAGGTTTTTGATGTTTTAAATTCTCTTGGTTATTAGTATTACCAAGGTTTTAGAAATCAAACCGGCTATCGAACCTAAAAAGAAAAGCTTAAAGGTTCAACAGGTTTGCATTTGGAGTTGAACTGGCTGAAATAGCATACTAAAATTAATTTAAAAATAGTTATATGACGCAACATACACACACACACACACACACACACACACACACACATATATATATGTGCATATGATAATTAAAGATACATATTCCTTAAAATATATAATTTACACAAGAAATATCTTCTATAATTTTAAATTTAACCATATTCCAATTCTAATGGTATTTTAAATTTAAATTTTATAATTTTAATTATCATAAAAAGGAAGGGGGTCAGCTGGGCATGCAATTGGAGGAAAAACTTAGGGAGCTAGGATTTCTTACTTTCTCTTAAGTTTAATATTTTATTTTATTAAATTATTAAGTTCAAGATAGAATTTTAACAATATAATATGAAAAATAGTCACAATTGGATCATAATAATAACTACCCAATTTAACAAAATTGTGATCAACTCATTGGTTCGACTAATGGTTTTCCCAATTTTAGACAATTTTGTGTTAGTGGTTTTATCAGGGGATCGAATCAGCCGAGAGATTGTTTCATAGTTGAACCGACTCGGTCAATCCTATTTTTAAAACAATGACTATTACAAAAGTGATTTGGAGAAATTGTTACTATAATTATCACGAACTACCATATTAAATATAGATACACCAATAACATGAGTTGGTAGTGGAAGAAGTCACCGCTCAAGCTCTTGTGCAAAATATAGGCACAAAGAATGAGAAATAGTATCATTGAAACCAATAAAATAATAAAAAAAAGTACCTGCGTTAGATATTTGAAAGCATCTACAACAGGTGTTACCATATCCTTGTATGCCTCGATCTACAAGGCAAGGTTGTATAATTAGATTTATGATAAAATTCACAATGATGAATGTGCCAATTTAGAATTTATAAATGGTCAGCAAAATTTATGGATAGGCATGGTACCTGGTGAACAATAGTCCGTAAAACGGTCATTGGATTAGAATGAGCAAGCTTGGCCACCATGCGACCGAGTTGCTTTAAGTTTTCTTTGGCAAGCCGTTTCAATAATCTACGAGTGTCCAACTGAAAAAAAAAAAAGAAAAAAAATGAATAAAAAATTAACTGAGCAACACTGCATATGGAAAGAACAGAGTAAACTTTCATGAACCTTTGCAATCTGTCTTGCAGCAAGGACCATGGGAATGCGTTCATCATCCTTCTCCCATTCACCATACAGACGATAGCGGGCCTACAAATATCAACTGCCCCCATGAAATACTGTATGCACAACCTCAAGAACAATAACAAAGAGAACAACATGCAAACCTCATATGGAAGTAGAGAAAGAACTTCCCATATCTCCTGACCTACTGCTGGATTTGCAGGTATTAACTGCAACGAAGGAAGCAAACAAGCTCCTAGAGCCTCCTCAACCCTCAACCTGGCTTCCTTGGCTCGAATGCCAGGATGCTTTCTACTTAAATCCACAGAAACAATAGGAATCAGATTTCCAGCAACACTTGCAGATTCCTGAGCAGAAAGATAGAATGCTTTTAGCACTCGGCAGACCTGCATGGAACAAATTACACATAGAAATGCCAAATTAGTAATTTCAACTTCAATACAAATAATAATACACCAGCTTAACGACAAGACAATAAAAGAACTTTAAACAACTAACCAAATACTGACTCAGCAAATATATAGAAGGCAAAATACAACTGGTATTACCCAGAAAAAAGTACATCACATTAACCTCTATTTAATGCCATACCTTCTGCAAAAGAATGGTGTCACGATGTAGATAAGGACCAGCAGCATTAAGCATCTGAAAAAGATCTCTGGAAAGATCAACTCGAGGAATTGGAACCAATGAAGTCATTCCTGATTCTGTGATATCTGAAGAAGTAGCAAAGGAGCTGCCAATGTTTTGGAGATGCGTTTGGCAAACAATAACATAAGAAGAAGAGATGCTCTTCTCTATAGCCCTAAGAAAATAAATTAATATCATTTAAGGAAGTGAATTGTAAATGAGGTCAAAAAATTACAAGGATTTAATCGGAATTAATAGAAATTCATAAATCCGCCTCAAATAAAAGGGGATAAGCCTATAAAAAAACACAACCAGATTCGCACAAAGGAAAAAATTTTATGACAATCCAAATGTACAAGTCAATGATGTTGGCATGTTTTTGCAATATAAAGTATAATATAAAACCTAAAGAAATCATTCAGAATCACATAAATATACAAATATTGCATTCTAATAAAACATGCGCCATTAAAAAAAAATTAATAAAATAAAAATACATAATCTAGGTGCCTTAAGTAGCATAGATATGGAATCTGCTAAGATAAATTGCATGGATCCAGAAGAAAAAAGGTCAAGAGCATGTCTATGAAAAGCTTACATTATTCAGAAAACTCACAATGCAAGCACAACAAATCTCATAAAAAAACGCAAATATTATGACTAAATACCTAAATAAGCCTTCACAGACAAGATAATGTGCAACTGGGTTCAGATGAGAGAGCCTGTCAAAAAGAACTTGAGCATGATACCTGGAAGAGGAAGAAAATACCGATATAACCAAAGGTACAAGACAGTCAAATTCATCAAATATACACAGTTTAATCAAGTGCACTAAGTTAAATTAATTGTTTCTACCGCTGAATGAGAAGTTGAGAGATATATGAGAAAATGTATCTTCAGTTTACAGCTCGAGGAAACTATTTTATTTCTACAAATTCACGCTGGTTAAAGCATTTGCAATTTTGAGGTATAATTTGTTCTAATTGCAACTAAAATTTACAATTTTAGCTCAAGACCAAGTTGGGAAAGAAAACAGAAAACAGCAATTCAACTGAACTACCCGCTGCCTCCAGTTTCATTAAAACAGCTATTCCCAGAATAAATCAGAAACTGCAGGATTACCCCCCTCCATTACCACAACAAAATATTGACAAAAATAAATAAGCCTGAAGTCGCTGCCACTTCCAGTGCCAATAGAATATCCACTCCCTCAAATACTCCAGAAAAAGAGATAAGCACGACTACAATCTAGATTAACAGTTTAAGCAACTGCATTAAGTTAGATTACTTGTTTCTACCATTGAATGAGAAGTCAAGAGATATATGAGAAAACGTATCTTCAGTTTACAGCTCGAGGAAACTATTTTATTTCTACAGATTCACGCTGGGTAAAGCATTTGCAATTTTGAGGTATAATCTGTTCAAATTGCAACTAAAATTTACAATCTTAGCTCAAGACCAAGTTGGGAAACAAAACAGAAAACAGCAATTCAACTGAACTACCCGCTACCTCCAGTTTAATCAAAACAGCTATTCCCGAATAAATCAGAAACTGCAGGAATATTCCCCTTCATTACCACAGAAAAATATTGACAAAAATAAATAAACCTGAAGTCGCTGCCACTTCCAGTGCCAATAGAATATCCACTCCCTCAAATACTCCAGAAAAAGAGATAAGCACGACTACAATCTAGATTAACAGTTTAAGCAACTGCATTAAGTTAGATTACTTGTTTCTACCATTGAATGAGAAGTCAAGAGATATATGAGAAAAAGTATCTTCAGTTTACAGCCCGAGGAAACTATTTTATTTCTACAGATTCACGCTGGTTAAAGCATTTGCAAGTTTTAGGTATAATCTGTTCTAACTGCAATTAAAATTTGCGCCCCATAAAAAGGATAACCCCTCACCCTCGTTTCCCCGCTCCACCCCCAAAGTACCATAAAGCAACAAATTATTAAATGGAAAAATCAAAGCAAGGTCAAGGTTCCACTTGACTAAGTAGAAGAAAGAGAATAACACCAACAAGTTTGGATTTTTTTTCTTCCTCTATGCTGGTCAGTTTTTTTTAAATACAACAGAAGCATGCATGCTATGTGATATAAAAGTAAAGAGCAAATAGTCTAATTTTAACAGCTTACAAAATAAGGAATTTAAGTTGCATACAAATACATAGATGAACGTTATAAATAGAAACAGCATAAAAATAATATTTTTTTATATTAACAATTTTGATTCTATTATTAAAAATTAGTAATAAAATTATTACACAGATCATTTAATTAAAAACTATCATTTTAAATATATATGAAACCGAATATAATAATAAAATAATTCCTTGAGCTTAATTAATATATTATTTAATAAATAATTTTTTTAATTAGAGCAAATTGGAACCAAGTATAATATTATAATAAATCTTTAAATTCTTTTAATATAATAAAAAAAATTTGTTTTAAACTTACTATTATGATACGTTTTTTCTCCTTTTATTATTTTTTAACCCCTCCCCATTACAAAATGTTCTTTCAGATCTGCACATTTTAAAAAAATTTGTTTGCCAAAATACTCCCAAGGAGTGAAGCCGAGCAACAAAATAAAACTAACAGGAACATTTTCGTATTTATCTTTTTTTCTTACTTTATCACTGTGAATATGTCATAAAACTCGAGGAACTCCCTCCTTCTAAAGCCCTTCTTTAAATGGCGAAAGCCACAACTTGGACAAAGTACTAGCACAGCAAACCATCCCTCATACCAAAGCCCATTAGAACGCACATGATACAAAGAAATTTACTCCTTAATATAGCATGTTTTTAAATATCTCCATAAGAACCTTTACAGCATACAATGAGTGCTCAAAATAGTAATACAACAATAACGTAATAAAGCAAGAACAAAGTAGAGAACCAACAAGAAACAAGCTACGTCAAGCATAAACTTAACATAGCCAGAGAAATAATGAATTTCAATGTTAATATCAACAGCTTTTGAACCCATTTATGCATGCATATAATTCTCTAGCAAGGCATACCAGTCATCTATTGAAAGAAAACCAATGAGAAGACCAAAACTCTGGTTATTTTCAACCTCAGCAGCATGTTCCATAACAGCTTCACTCTCCATGTCCAGTGCTGTAAACAAATCAACTGAAACATCTTGCTTCTCATCTTCCATGAGATCTTTTCCAGTAGCGGCTAAATTTATTTTGCCAATTTTGTTCGCCTGCAAAAAATTCAGCCGGTTTTAGAGCATTATGGTAATTTAATGAACCCAAAAAAAAGGTAGGAGTCTTAGAGATATAGGCTCTGAACAAAAAAAGTTTCTTCGTGGTCTAGAAGAAAAACTCATAGAACAGTTGTAATCACAGTTACCTTTAAACATATTAAATTTCAGAAGGATTTTTCCACCTAGGCATAATGGCCATCACATAAGGATTATAACAGAAACTGAGTTCAAAGAAAAAGAACAGTTCCAATACAGTATTCTCACAGGACAGCTCTTAAGAAGTAATGAAATGGGAAACCTTGAGTAATATAGATACCATGTGTTTCATATGTATATCATAAGCTTAAATGATAGGAGAATATTCCTTTAAGATCTGTTTTCTACTAAACATTTAAGATAGAGGTCAAGCAAGAGACTTGAGTGGAAAGATTTACCAAACTGACCATAACAGATGGTTAGAAAATAAAGATTGAAGCAGCATGAAATAGTTGTTGTTTTAGAAACAAAAACTTTTAAAGTTTAAACATTTTTTTAATTGGGTGCCTAAAAGTGGGCTATGCAGGACGTATTCTAATCTAGAGTTTTCCTATGCAGATTTATGATAAGATGCATAAAAACACTGCATCATTTCAAATTCCCAGTTCACAATACCTTAATTAAGACAAATAACGAATAAAAATGAAAAAATAAAATAATACGAAAAAACATTTCATGAAAATTCAATCTTCTAGTAAATATAACGAATAAAAAATTGGGAGCATTAAAAAGACACGTTGAATGAAAATCATGCCACTGTCCAAAATCATATTGCACCAAATTTGAAAAAATTCAAAAACAAAACCAAACTAATTAATAGAAACTAAAGAATAGAAGTAAGAAAAAAAAAGAACAAAAAATAGAAAAACATAACTTCATGCTGAGTATATTGCACAATAATTATCATCCACCACTTACAACAAGAAATGGCTAAAAAGCACTACATTTTATTCAATAAAAAATATAAATTAAGTAGAATAAGAATAAAATTCCCTTTAAATGCCTCAAGCCCTAAAAATTATTTATCATCACCTGTAAGAACCAAATGTATGCTCTTACTTTTTTTTCTTCTTTCCTTCATTGCACTCTACATTGAAGACTTCCTAAAAATCGCACTTTCCATTTTTTTTCTCCCACTCGATGTTGCCGCCTTCCCGATCTCTTCGACCCACCGCCTCTTGCAGCTATTCAGAGAGAGTCGAGTGTGGCTAGGGCACTGATCTCCACCTCTCCTCTCCCTTACCTCCTCTAGTTGTCCCTCTTCCTCTCAATCTTCTTCCTCCTGCTCTCCCAGTTTCGCTCGAAACCATCGCCTTTGTGATCAAACACCCTCAATACTGTCGCGAGTGGAGCTAGAAGTGAAGGTGACTTTAGGATCGCGGCATACAGAGATTTGAAACCCTCGTTTTCTCCCTTCCGTTTCCTACTACCCAAAAGGAAGGTAATGCTCATTTGCTCCGCCTCCATCCTTCTAGTACATCTGCAATTCTAAATCCCTTCCTAGAGGATTTTTTAACCGGGATTTAAGGCAAAACAGAGGCAAAATGGGGCTTGGGAACTGTGTAGGATTTGAAGCACATTTTTATTAATATTAATTAGGCTCAAGAATTTCTCCCTTCTAAAAATATATTAACAATATAAAATTAACAACAAGAACAATAATAATAATGAACGTCAATTAGGGTATACCTAATTTAATAATAAAATTTAACAACTTAATTAATCTTTTTTTTATTGACGTAGGATTGCTAGTCGATTTGTCGAATTCATAGGAGTATCACGTTTTGCAGCCTCGAGGTAAGCAACTGTTGTTTATTGGAGGATAAACAAACTCTTCCTAGTTATGGGCGTTATTCTTTGTGAACTGTAGTAGAATCACATCTATTATTTATGTTTTTTCAATCCTGCCCTTGGTACTTAAATTAAGATCTTCAATTAAGATATTGCACTCGTTATTTATTTACCTTATTGTCATGCTAAAATTAACAATTGTCTTAAGTTATTGTTGCATATTTGAATATTCCTACAGTTATAGTGTTTTCCTTTTCTTGCATCTTATGAACTTGCATGCGCATTCATGTCATATCACAAGCTTATATGAAATATTATAACTTTAACATGTTATATATGTGGAAACAATTTGACATGTTTGTGTGATAATATGTAGGTCGGTACAACCCTTCTTGATTTTGATTAGTTGAGCTGATGGGCCCACAAAGTGATGACTCTATAGGAAATCGCCAAGCTATTTGTTATCCACACTGCATGTCTCATTCCCTTGTCGTTTATGGTTTAATGGATAGTTGTTATTTACTGAGTTTTTCAAACTCATTCTGGATATTTTTGCATCACATTTTTTATTCAGCCAGAAGTAGGACTGTCTCCACCGGAGCAAGTTATTCAGTTTTAGTTTCCCAATTTTAGTATTTTCTCTTATACTTGTTTTAACGTATATTATTTTTCTTTGTCGAACCTGGGTAGTTACTCCATGCTATCATTTCCATTTTTTTCAGCTAGTTTTATATTTTTGTCCAAGTTGTATCATTGAACAATCAAAATTAATAAAATTTACATTTTCTTTTTATATGCAATACAAGTTTTTCTTTGAAAATACAAAACATGTTCAAATCATTTTCTCATGCTCTATGTTGTCAGGGTATACACCTTCCGGACCCGAGGTGTGACATCACCAAGATTTCTTAAATTTAGAATTAAAAAAACAAAAGATAAATTGACAAATTTATTTTAAAATTAGGAGATGCACAAGAACCGCATCACATTATTTGACTCCATAGAAAAGTCCCAACCGCATTTTAGTCATGAAATCAACAAAACTTACAGGAATAAAAGTTGTGAAACACATGCAATGAAAGAGTAGTCAAAGATCACACCAAAGAACCTCAACAGAGCAGTCAAGAAAGACTGTAGCAAAGAACTATGAAGGACCCATAACAAGGAGTCATTGAAGATCCATAAAAACACTAACAAAAATAAAAAAAAAAAAAAACTGAAAATGAAATAAGAGTAAATCACATAGGGTCAATGGTCACAATGAGCACAAAAAATCATGATGAAGAATTGAAAGCTAAGATCTATGATTAGTTAGTCCTAGAAAGAGCAGGAGGATAATGAAAATCTATCTTGCATTAGAAAAATGGCTCCAATAAATTATTTAGTAGTTATTCATCAAGTAGATTTGAATTTAACTATAGCACTTCCTATAGAAAAAACCAATCAATCATCACACAAAATCTTGTTTCTCAACTTCAAAAGGTGCCCCAAATATCCATCACCATCAATAGAAACAATTTGATCTCTACTAACATCTTTAAGAAAAAGATTAGCAAGAAATCTGAGAATAGTGTGAATGATAAATTTGATGTGAATAATGCAAGAAGAGTTGAAAAGGGAGAAGAACTCAAAACATAGATTGCTGGTTAATGATATAAATCCAAATTAAATACATTAAAATTTGGAGTATTAACAATTTTTTTTAACTTATTACCATTCATTTCTACATTTGATTTTTATTGATTTAGAAAAAGCTTACGATAAGGTTCAAAGAGATATTCTTTTTAGAGTTCTTGAGAAGAAAGGTGTTGATATTACTTATATTCAAGTCATTAAAGATATTTATACTATAGTTGTTACTTGTGTTCGAATTGAAGGAGGATTAACCAAATATTTTCCTATTTTTGTTGGCTTACATCAGAGATCGGCTTTAAACTCGTATCTTTTTGTTTTAGTTATGGATGGTCTTACTGGACATTTACAGGAGGATGTACCTTGGTGTGTGATTTTTGCTGATGATATCCTTCTCGTGGATAAGATGAGAGAAAAAGTCAAAGAAAAACTTGAATTATGGAGGTCTACATTGCAGTCTAAAGGTCTTCATTTGAGTAGAACTAAAACTGCATACATGGAATGTAATTTTAGTAGTAGTAGCTCTAGTGACAGAAGTGTAACTTTGGGTGATCAAATTATTAATGAAAGATTTAAATATCTAGAGAAACAATGGTGGTATAGATGGGGATGTTAATAGTAGAATTCAAATGGGTTGGTTGAAGTGAAGGAATGCTTCGGGCCTTTTATGTGAGAAAAGTGCCACTTAGGCTGAAAGGGAAATTTTAAGAGATGGCGGTTAGACCTGCAATGCTCCATGACACTGAATGTTTGCCTTTAAAAGAGAAGCATAATACTAAGTTAAGTGTTGTCGAGATGAGAATGATTCGATGGATGAGTGGTTTTACACTTAGAGACAAAATGCGAAATAAATATATCCGTGATAGGGTTGGTGTAGCTCCAGTGAAGGACAAAATTAGAGAGAGTCGTCTTAGATGGTTTGGTTGCATTAAATTATGACCATCTGATGATCCGATTAGGAGAGTAGATTTTTTAGATTCAACTTATGTTAAGAAAGACAGAGATAAAAAAAATCTTAATCTATTAGAGCTAAGAATATCCCACTACCTAGGAAGACTTGGGCTTATTGTATAAAGAATAATCTTAATTTCTTAGAACTAAATGAAAATATGACACTAAATAGGATGCAATGAAGAAAAAAAATTCATGTAGCCGACCCCATGTAGTGGGATTAAGGCTTTGTTTGTTGTTGTTGTACCATTCGTCTGACTATAATTAATGACTAAATATAGTTTCATTTTTTCTACAAGTTAATTTCTTAAAGATTCAAATAAAAAATCTTACAGAGTTTAAATAAACCATTACCATATCACCAAGCCTGAATTCCATACATCTCTAATTTCATCTTCAATAGATTTATAATTGTAATCATCAAAAATAAGTTTCACATGAACATCTTCGTTCAAATCACACAAATGACTAATAGATGATTCAATGAGATGTAATGCAGGAAATGATAATGCTAATTTGCCCTAACATTTATAAACATGAATACACCATAACGATTTTTCAAAAGAAACTTAAAATTTATATTTATGTGTTCTAGAATGTTTCACATTATATGTAACTACCAACCACACATATGATGTGTTTATCATATACCAAATTTGATTCAGAACAGGTTAGGTACATAAAGTCAAGAGTTTATTAATAAAGATGTATGATAAAAGCATAAAATCATGTACATGCTTTCAAAATTCATAGCATGTGGGAGAGAGAATTTGATAAGCAGAGATCGATACAACAACATCATATATTGCAGGCACGATTACCAGTGAAAGTGGCAAGATCATACAACTTGTTGTCTTGTAAGCACAAATTATTGGGCTTTCATCGATTGGTGACGACTCATGGGGCCCTGGGACAAAGAACTGAACATAATAACTTGTGAAGCACTTTATTGGTTCTAAATGCTAGTGGACGTGGAGATGGATGGCACAAGGTTGATGACTCACAGAGGATACAGAAAGTCGCCAGTAATGATTTTGACATGGAGGGATGAATCTTGTGGAGACTAACAAGACCAAGTCAACCACAAAGTTGTCTGCGGTATTGAACTCTAATTGTGCCTGAAGCTTGATGACACAAATAGAGCTTGATATCATATGTAAGGAAGCTGATTGATGCAATTCTTGAAGTGAAAAGATAGTTGCATAATGGATGTGAATGCATAAGAGCGAAGATAAAAATAAAAAATCTTAAGAGGTAGAATGATGCGGGATTTTGGTATTCTAATCATAAAAAATGATCTCAATGAAAACATAAAAGATAGGATCCAAGATCCTAATCTAACATATCGAGCTAGTCAAAGTCTCAAAAATAAAAAACAAAAAAATTAATAATAATAAAAGAACTAGATAGGAGATAAAAATTGATTCAATCATTTTCATGTACTCGTCCTCCCCAAACAAGAGTACTTAAAACATACAATGCCTGCCTTAATTGAATTGCTCTGCTAATTAGCCACATTTAACAACTAAACATCACCCCATATCCCACTTAGATTTACAACAATTTGTTACTATGACTTAGATTTACAACAATTTGTTACTTTGTCCTCCTAATATTTCACCAATAAATAAAAAAATTAACTGGTAAAAATAAGGGAGGCAATAGAAAACTCTCTTTTTATGAATCAGGTATATAGCACATGGAAGATGCTTGGGTGAAATTCCAAATTTGCAATAACATGTTTGCTCTAGTTTTGCTTTTGTATATTTTGAAAAAAAAAATTATAAATTGGTATTGTGTTCTAAAATAATTGGGGATGCATCTATATTTACAAAACCTTTTGTTTTTGTGCTTATCCCAGATTGTGGGAATAGGTTAGCTGGATAATGCAAATTAAAGAAAAAGAGATGTATTACATTGAGATTTACAACAATTTGTTACTTTGTCCTCCAAATATTTCACCAATAAATAAAAAAATTAACTGGTAAAAATAAGGGAGGCAATTGAGAACTTTCTTTTTATGAATCAGGTATATAACACACGGAAGATGCTTGGATGAAATTCTAAATTTGTCATAAAATGTTTGCTCTAGTTTTGTTTTTGTTTATTTTGAAAAAAAAAATTTATAATTTGGTATTGTGTTCTAAAATATTTGGGGATGCATCTATATTTACAAAACTTTTTGTTTTTGTGCTTATCCCAGATTGTGGGAATAGGTTGGCTAGATAATGCAAATTAAAGAAAAGGAGATGGATGACATTGAGCTGCCAGTGCTGACGCGAGGGCTGCTTGTGCCCACTGTCCAATCCTCTGTCCAGATCCTCCCAGCAGCCACCAATCTTCTCAGCCTCCCTTCAGTGGACTACCGGCACTGTTGGTCTAGCATTATCCTTACCAGAACCGCCCCGCTTCAATTGAAACGGTCGCTCCTATCATTGTGTTGTCTCTTTTATTATTTCTGTCCTTATTAGTTGGTTACTGTTTTACGTGCTTGTGTTGTTATGTCAAAGCGTCTTTGTTGTAATTTCCTGATTGCAGCAATAAAATATGTGTCATTCGAGTCGTGCTTTGCATTAACTCCGGTATCAAGTACTGTGCCGATGACCAATCATCAAAAAGGCAATGCCCACTGCATTACCAAAGCCAATGCATTAAGTATATGAATGAGTAAAAGAACAGTGCTTGGGTAATTTAAAAACAATTTCCTATAGAATATGTTATAGCTGGAATCAAGAAAGAATTATGAACTCTTTTTTTCAAACATTTAGCAAGAAAACAAAGTTTTGGAGATGAAATATTGAAAGTGAAAATAGCATAAAAGAAGAAAGAACAAACTTCTTCAAATCGCTTTGCAATGAGAGCATCATAATGCTCAAATGCCTCCTCATCCTTCGGAAGTAAATGGACACATCTGAAAGTAACAATAATTATGATCAACTAAAACAGCAGACTACAGTAAAAATCAGCATACATCAAAAAATTAGTCTGCCGTTACCACTAGGAAGCAGACGGATACTGGCCTATAAAAAATGTGTAGATTAACAGCCTCAAGCATGCATACATTCAGGCCCTCAAATATGCACAGTTTGGAGGGAGTGGGAAAAAGAATAATAAAGCAGATCACATAACATATCTGAATGTAAAATTGACACAAGTTGAATGAAAAAAGTTACTTCAAAATCTCTAAAGTGCCGAGATCATTTCCACATGCAAAATGAGTAAAATAAATAAAATCTCTATAAACAAATTTTCTATCTACTAGAAAACAAATAAGTCCTAACTAACCTCTGATAGAATTTTTTTTTTTTTCTTAAATGAAGGAAAACAACATTCCTCTGTATGAATGAAACAAGTTATGAATTAAATGAGAATAATACAATGTAACAATTTAATAAATAATTTAAACATACAAAATACTCCTAGTCCAAATGACAATTATTTTCTAATTAACGGCGTGTCAAAAGCCAATAATATCATGATGAAATGGTTTATAACAGAGAATACTAGCCTAAAGCATATATCTTAATAACCATGAAATCATCAACAACATGAAAATAATGATCAATACAATGTGTTGCACTCTATCTAAATTGCATGTACTTTCGGTATAAATCATCAAGTTTTTTATCGTAAAGAATGTTTAGAATATCATTAATAACAGTAACATAGGATTGTATCTAAGTAACATGATTTGTTTGGAGAATTATTCCTGAGGAGCATTCAAATCCTTTTTTTTCTTTTTTCATACATGGTATTTGAGGGATTTTCTATTCCAAATAGGTTCTTATAACTGCCAATAATATTATTTGGTGAAAAGAAAAAAAAAAATTCTAGGCAGTGCATTTACTATTACAAAAAATGAATATAGAAATTTGTAAGCTCATTTATTTGCAAATACAAACTCGAACGCAACAGATAAAGTTACTGTTAAACCATATATACAAGTAAATTAATCAAATATTTTTATTCACATAACAAATACTAATGTGTGAAAGACTCGGGGCACAAATCCATAGAATTATTCAGAACACAATTAAAAGCTACAAAACAAAAATAGAGAATAAAAAGCCAAAATTATGAATAACCTCAAATCACAAACTAAAATCGGAAGACGGGACTTACATACTATCAAGATCAATAAAGTCTGATTTAACCAACAATGCAGCAAGTCGATAAAGGCCAGAAGGCACTGGAGAGCTAACTTCAATTCTTTGATAGTACTGGAACTTAAAGCCCAATATTTGGGCAGCGTGTGACTGACAAAAAGATAAGCAAAATAAAATTATCACTGAAAAAAGGAAAAATAATTGCAGATATAATTAAAAACAAGAGTTACCTTAGGAAAAATAGGAATGAGACTATAGAATATGCTATTGTCATGATAGAGTTCAAAACATTCCAAGACCTGTTTTAATTCCAGAATTTCAACTTTGAAACAAGTTAAATAGTTTAATTACAAATAAAGAACAAGTAATTATAATAACACTAATTACAACAGCAATCATTCAACTGAAAATTATAAATATACAATAATTGACAACATTTAAATTTAGTTAGACGCTGAAAAAGAAAAAGCGTTAAAAAAAAAGTTTTAAGCACAACTAAATGAAATTACAAAAGAGCAAGGTTGGTGCACTGAGAAAGTATGCAACTTACAATGTCAAAGACACGATTTGGATCCAAATCAAAGTGTCCAATCAATGACTGCCAAAGATTAAAGTTTGAAAGAAATAGTAGGCTGAACAATCACACTAGGAATGTTAAAAAGCAAATTTTCTCACCTTAATTAAGCTGATTGTACCAGAAGATGTATTCTGGCTGACAGCATCTACACCATTTTGACAAAGAAGAGTAACCTATAAAATTAAAAATCAAAGGATAACCAATATATCCAAGTTCAACAATGAGATCAGAAAGGAATCAAACATGCATGGTGACATATGATGCTCTTTTATCACTTTACTGGTAGAAGCAAAACAAAAATACTCAAAGTTAACCAAATTCATATCTTTAAACCATTGAGCTTAATATTAAAGTCATGGCTTTCAAAATAACCTATGTACGCAAGATATAAAAACAGACATAAAGAAAAGAAAATCCAAGCCCTTCTCTTCATGATTAGTGAATGGGGTTTAATAGATCGTACTAGGCATTCAAACGCAAGTTAGTAGAAACTTGTTTAGCAAATGAATAACTGAACTGTGATATGTCAAATTGTTGCTCATTACCATTTTAACAGTATAAGCTAAACTCAAGCTCATCGGTTTCCACTTAGCATATGGTATACCCCTTTAAAACATAAACTTAGAGCAATAATTCTGATATTTCAGGGAAATAAAAACTTTTTCAAAGAAATTTTAGTGCAGAAGATTGTACTAACTGCACCAAATACACAAGCAGGGATGTAGATTTAGAAAGGCAGTGTGATACAGAGCATGAACACTAAGTTGGCTTGGGCTGTTTTCAAAATTTGCCATGAGCTCAGATTGCAATGGAGACAACCTAACATTTGCTCTTAAAAATGCCCTCAAACAGATTCAAAAGAGAGACTTTTAATACAACCCGAGTAAGACAAAAAATTCTTAAAAGAAAAATGAGCAAATAAAATTAAGTACGGCCTAGACCAAAATAGTTAACAAGAATAGTCATTAGTCGCTGAAATGCTTCATAAAAAAGAATATCCTGCAGTGATCAAAGAAGGCATGAATATAACTTTGATTAAATTTGTATAAATCATTAGCATAAATCAACAAAATTGGTAGGAAGCAGAGGACATATAATTATGATATAACATATCTCAGTAAAATGTGAACACCATGCTTACAAGCTTGGAATAGCCCTCACTTTCTTCCCTGAGGAGGTTAAATTTTGTTTGTTGATATAGAAGGCGTGTGTTTATTCTGACCTGCAGTTTGAAAAAGCCAATCATAAACAACAGCGCATGCTACAAACAACAAATCAAGAAATAAAGCAAGAAGCATAAATCTGTAGAACCAGAGGGTTACATTTAATTCTAGAATATCATTTTATTTCTTGAATTTAATTTCACTTAATGTCATTACAAAGGTACAAATACTTGCACAATCATCATCATAATCATCATTATCATCATCAGCCTATCCCTACTATTTAGGGCTGGCTTTATGAAGCATCATTATTCATTCGTCCTATTTGGCAGCTTGAAATGTTAAGCCTACTTTGTGCTTTTTGTTCAAGAAATCTATCAAATTATCATGGTCGAACCACTTTTTTCCTTGATCTCTTAACTTAATTTTATCAACCATCTTACTTATGCATCTTCTACACTTCCTTGTCCATGTTTAAACTATGCTAGTCAATTTTTCATCAATTTATCTTCAATAGATACTACTTCAGCCATCTCTTTAGTATAATCATTTCCTAATCTACCCTTCTCAGTTTTTTCTAAATATTTATTATTCTAAATTTGCTTGCACGATAAAAATGAGCAACAAAATATTATACAAATTGCATCATATCTGAATTCTAGAATTCATCATCGGAAAGTCAAAAGTAGAAATATCGGCCTAAATGATTTTTGACGGCAAAAAATAAGATAAAAAAATCACAAAATAGTTCCTCTAAATGTATATTAAACAACAACAGTGAAATGCACAAAATAATAGTGTTCATTGTCTTGGTATCAATAATTCAAAATTTCACGACATAAAGACATAATATATGATGTATAAAGAAGGGATGAAAACGCAGGGAAATTGAACATCCAAAAATGGATTTTGGCTTCAACAGAATACAACACCAAAAAAGATAAACCAAAGCATGTATACTATATGCATTCATACTTGTATATTACACTTCTCTTCGACATGGTAGATTTATGGCACTAAGCTAGCTAGAAAATAAGCTGTTATAGTTTCAGAAAATGCATTTCTCTTTTAGCTAAAAGCTCTGTCTAAGTCTTCATTGATATGAATCTCATTTCTATTTTTTACGCGGGCGAGCACAAAAAGAACAATTGTGCTAATGTGTGCTTATCAAACACAAATAAAAGCATATACCCACAAATTCTTACATACTTGTACGAAGAAACTCAAGGAAAAAGGAATCACAAAGTACAGAGCAAAATAAGAGCCTGAAAACCCAGCCTTACATTTGCTTAGCATGAAGATTTTTTTTTCAGGTTTGAACCTATCACTTTTGAGTCACACTACAGAAATAAAAATAATGCATCTAAGCTTGTGTCACAGCTAGACCTGTTGGTAATATAAAAGCATGCATACGATAAAGTGGTATACTGAAAACTGTCAAATCTCATTGACTACTTTTTGAAAATTTTATTGTTTAATTTGCAAAATTAGAATAATTATTTATGTTTGCAATATATTCTCATCATGGATGATATAATAGTATTTTTAAAATTTTCTATTCTTCCTATTTGTTTATCAATAAACCTTTGTATTCGATTAATAATAAAGAACAAAAGTCTTTTTCCATAACATGGTATCAAATATAGGTAATCCAGCCTTAGTCATTCATATCTCCGCCAATCCTTATCCACAACCTCACGGCTCGTCTTATCCTTCAAACTTCTTGCCCCAACATGTCGATCCTCAATTGTCTCTACCAACCCATCATTGTGCATTCCTTAGTGATTGCTCGTCCCACATTCACAAACTTCCCACCCGTCCTTGAACCTGATTTGCATTACCGCTCTGCATTTACTCCGTAGTCCCTCTCGACCACACCTTCCAATGTGCTCCCATAAACCCGAAACTTGTGATCTCATTGGTTCTAATGAGTCTCACCACATAAGCCACACAACCATGCTGTTTCGCTCGAGGGCTTGATGATTCATGTCTCTACTCCAACCTATTCCTCCAGCCTATCTATTGGCAGATCTGTTAAACTCAACGATACTCATTATCTCGTGTGATCTAAGACTTTTTATTTCCTATATGAATTTATGAGATAGTCATCTTAACTCTCCACCTCCCAAACAAACAGACACCGCCAAATGCATCAAATAGCAAACTTATGACTGTTTTCACATGGACGCTCAACAACCTTTGAGCTCCCTATGGATTCAATTTTTAGGTTTCAATAGACTGCCAAAGGAATGCGTGTCTTTACTTTCAAATCATTTTTTTACAATAGTTTGACAAAAAAAATTGGGATTACTACAGAACTTTGAAAAGCAATTGGGATGAACTTAAAATATCACCTAGGGTTTTCAAATTCAGTTGGTAGGTCGGGGTTGGATTTTAACAAAAAATGACTCAATCCAAAACTGCTTGTCGCAAACCCAACTTGAACAAAAAGCATGCCAAGAAATCTAACTCAAACTCGGCCGGTGTTCAACCCAACTGACCCAAACCTAAACCGTTTGACATGTTTAACATACACATAACTAGTTGGGTCAATTTTGGGTTAGCGAGTAAATCTAAATCTGTTCAAAAAAATTAAATGGCGGCAGTAGTGATGACTGCAGCAACTTGTGTAGTGAATTTAGAAAACACTGAATTTCCAAATACACCAAATTTTATTTAAAGCGGGAGTTCCAAATTCATCAAAAGCTTTACACAGTATTTTAATTACATTTAATACATCCAAGTTTTAAAATTTCGTGCATTTGATTTCCATTATTCCCGTAATGTGGGCAGCCAAATAGCTCCTATTACTCAACTTGATATATACGTTATTGTTGGTATGGTTAGTTAACATAAGCAAAACCCACAGAAGAAACAGTATGCATCCAAAAAAATCTACATAAAATAATTTAGCTGAAATACAAAATTATTTTAAGGGTTGAACCTTATCCTGTGATTGCTCTATTGAGAATCATTAGTTAGCTTTAGGATATCGTACGTTTTTGGTAAAAATTCTCATAGCTTTGGAAAGTAATAAGCAAACCATTATAGCTAGATCCAGCGTTGAAGTTGAATACAAGATCATAGCTAATCCCTCTTACAGCATGATGTGGCTAAAAATTCTTTTAAAAAAATTTGGTTTATCTTATAACTAAGTTTATTTTTCTTAATAATGGTAATTAGACATATCAAAATTACTAGATATCCTATCTTTCATAACAGAAACAAACATGTTGAATTAGATTTAGATGGTCACTTCATCTAAAGATATTGTCCCGCATAAAATATACCATCACTCTATACATCTCCAGTGATAATTAATTAGCAAATATATTCACAAAAGCTCTCATCCCTCTTCATTTTTTCAATCCTTGTAATAAACTAGAGTTTAATAATGCCCAATCTTGCGATAGTGTTATCCTAATAAAGAACTAACTAATTTTGAACTGTTTTTCTTGCATAGAATAAATCTTCATAATTGAAGCTAATCTAAATTTATATTTTTGTTTTTATGTTCCCTTTAACACTGTTATGGTGGCATCTCAAGCCGCGGATGCTAAAAATAGAGGGTTGTATTAGGTAGTCAACAATCAACATAAAAATTTTATAGAAAAACTATGACTTGAATAGTTTAAGTCATTATATCAATGCTAGGGCGCTCCCTGTATTTTATGCATGGCATGGCCTAAATACAACAAACAATGTGCAAGGATCGCTACACTGACGCTCATGTATAGTGTTATATAAACAAGGGCTCCCACATTATAAACGGATGCAAACAAATAACTTAATCTATGAAACAAATATAAGGATATAAACTTGATATATAGGAACTCATGTTATATTATCTTAAAATATAGGTACTCAAATGGGTAAATTAATAAAATTAGTAGACATTATGGTTCATAGGAAGACAAATATCTTTTACATTAAAAACACTAAATGTGTTTTAGAAAATGTTAAAAAGATTGATACTTTAAATTTTATACTTTAGTATTCAAATAGGAGTCGACGTAAAAATGATGTAAGTGTAATTATAGATAAAAGTTTGAAAGATTGTATTGCTAAAATTAATAAAATTGGTGATAAAGTTATAATGACAAAGATTGTCCTCCATACTAAGATTATTATTGTTATAAGTGTATATGCTCTCAAAATAGGTTCAGATATATATTCAAAAGAAAAAATTTGGAAAGACCTAGAAAAATTGATATAATGGATACCTTTGAATTTGTTAGAAGGTATCTGAATGAACATGTAGGCAGAATGATAGAAGATTTTAGAAGTTTTCATGGTTGTTATGATTTTGGATTGACTAATAAAGAATATAGAGTCATATCGGATTTTGTTTTAGCTTATAATTTTATTGATATTAATATTTTATTTGTGAAAAAAATGAGTGTATTATCACTTATAAGAATAAATTTAATAAAATACAAATTAATTATTTCTTTTTACAAAAATATATAGTGAAGATTATAAAAATTATAAGGTCATTCCCAGTAAAAATTTAAATATTGAACATCGATTACTAATGAAGGATTGGAACATAAAAAATATAATCAAACCTTATAATAAAATTAGATGAGGACATTTAACAGACACAAATAAATTTATTTTTGAGTAAACTTCAAAATCTTAAAGTTTTAGATGTTTATTAAAAAGTTATTACTATGTGGGATAAAATAACGAGTACTATTAAGCAGACTGCAGAGACGTGCTTTGAGAATTTAAAAAAAAACCATTATTAATAACAATAGTTCATGGTGAAATAATAGTGTGCAAGAAATGATAAAAGATAAGAAGTTTTGTTATAAAAATTAGTTCGGATGTAAAATCTTGAAGAATCGAAATAAAAATAAGATAGACCATAGGGAGTCCAAAAAAATAATTTATAAAACTAAGAATTCTATTTTTAATGATCTTTATAAGAGATTAGATATTAAAAATGGTAAAATATATATATGTATAAATTAGCCAAATAAAGAGAAAAAAAAAGATAAAATTCAAGTAAAGCGTATTAAAACTGAAAATCAAAAGGTTTTTTTTATATAAAGAT